TTTTTGAAACAGGGTCTTGCTATGCAGCTCAGGCCAGCCTAGACTTGAACACTCAACAATTCTGCTACCTCAGCCTCCCGAGTGCTGAGATTACAGGGGTATGCCACCATGCCTGATAGAAAAATTGTTCTCTTTGAGCTGCCTAGCTCTGTAACTGCTCCATGGCTCTGTAATTGCTCTCTTGACCCCTGTAACTAGAAAAGCATAACCAAACATACAGGAGAGTTGATTGTACAAAGATTTGTGGTTATTAATGTAGCCCTATAACCTATTATCTCACCCTGCTAACTAATCAGAAGAGCTGCCAGGCTGTCCTGTCCCACCCTTGTAACCCCTACTTATAATCATATAAAAATGCTGGCTTCCCAGGGTGTGGAGGTGCACACTTGTAATCCCAACACTGAGAGGCTGAGGCAGGAGGATTACAGAAAGTTCGATGCCAGCCTGGGCTGTGTAGTTCAGGGACAACCTGAACTATACAGTAAGACCCTGTCTCAAAAAACCAAAGCAAAACAAAAAATAATAATACTGCTTTATAGACACTGGACTCCTGACTTCTACTGGTATAAAATAAAGCTGTTCACTGCTTCCTGACTTCCCCAGGTGTTCACCTTTCCCCAACTCTCTCTATCTCTCTGTCTCTCTGTCTCATACTGGAGATTGACTCAGAGCCTTGTGCATGCTAGGCAAGCACTCTACCGCTAAGCTACCTCCCCAGACCATGACAACTTCTCTTTAAGCAATTAGGAGTGGCACACAGTTTTCTACCAGTTGCCAGTGGTCAGACCCAGAATGACCTGCTCAGCCTCAACCTCTCAGGCCGTACATCTCTCCTCTGCCAAGGGTTTCTGGTAGCACTCCATGACTGTCTAGGGATTACATGAACTGTATAATCCTCAATAAATGTCAGAGATTGTTATTAGCATCATTGTAAGCAGCATGAGAGGTACAGCAAGAAAACACTTAAGTCTCAGTCCCTTCTTGCCAGCATTGTGGTTGAGGCCAGTGACTCTCTGGGGCTTAGAATAGTTCCTGGGGTGTAGGAAGAACTGTGTGGTAACAGCTGTTTGTCATTGTTTCAAAATAATGTTATATTGATTACTTCTGGAAATGCTATGTTTTGAGACTATCCAGGGATACCTACAAGATTTCTTTTTTTTTTTTTTTTTTGGTGGAACCAGGGATTGAACTCAGGCCCTTGCGCTTGCCAGGGAAGCGCTTATGCTACAGAGCCATCTCCCAGGCACAAGCTTTTTACTTTCTGTTTGCTTCCCCTCTACATAAAACATAAACATGTGCAAGCACACATGTGCATACACACACACACACACACACACACACACACAATTCCAAGCTCTAGCCTCATGTAGAACACTGCCAGCAACCTTGAAAATATCACATTAAGGCTGGGCATGGTGGTACATGCCTGTAATCCCAGCACTTGCAGGCTGAGGCAGGAGAATTGTTGTGAGCTCAAGGCCAGCCTGAATTGCATAGCAAGACCCTGTCTCAAAAGGACAAGAAAGGGGCCGGGGAGATGGCTCAGTAGGATAAGCACTTGACCGGCAAACGCAAGGATCTGAGTTCAATCCCCAGTGCCACCAAAAAAAAAGAAAAGAAAAGAAAGAAAAAAAAAAAATGTCAGGCTGGCTAGATAGCTCAGCGGACTAAAGCACCTGCTTAGGCAGAATGCAGTGGCCTGGGTTCAATCCCCATGCTGACTCTGCCTCAGGGGTGCACTAAAATGGTGATTGAGAATGGGCATGGTGGCGCACCTGTAATCCCAGCTCTTGGGAGGCTAAAAACAGGAGAATCACTAACAAGTCCACATATAGTCCCTTTCTTTCTCTCTTTCAACTTTTTCTTTCTTTTAGGGTACTGCTACTTGAACCCAGAGCCTTCACACTGAGCTATACCTCTTGCTTTTTTGGGGGGACAGGGTCTCACTACTTCACTAAATTGTCCAGGCTGGAGTCAAACTTGCAATGTCTCTGCCTCGGCCTCACAGAGGCTGAGGTTATATGCATCCACCGCCATACCTAGCTGCTTGGCCCCTTTTCTCTTTTCCTTTCTTTTATAGTGCTAAGATTGAACCCAAGACCTTCACACTGAATTACATCTCCAGTCCTTTTTTAATTTTGAGATAGGTCTTGCTAAATCACTAAATTGACAAGGATGGGCTTGAATTTATCATGCTCCTGCCTCTGCCTCCCAGAGTTGCTGGCATTATAAGAGTGAGACACCACACTTGGTTTACAAGTTTGTTGTTCCTTTTTTGTTTTATTTTTCTGAGGCAGGATCTTACTATGTAGTTCAAGAACTAGCCTTGAACTCTCAGTGATCCTCCTGACTCAGCCTCCTGGATGCTGGGATTACAGGCCTGCGCCAGCACTTAAGTATTTCTTTAATCAAGGTGTTTACTTCATCTCATTGGCCCCTAAATTTTTTTTTTTTGTGACAGGAATCTTTTATTGACCTGACTAGCATACCTGGTGGCAGGGTCAGGTAGAACATACCTATCTGCCCTGGATCCTGTCTTCTTTCTCCTGGGAATTCATGTATCACCACAGGAGAGAAGAGTATCCAGGGCAGGTAAAGCTGGGGGAATATACAGGGTGGAACCTGAAAGTGGCTCAGGGCAATACAAAAAGTGCAGGGTTGATTGCTGGCCCAACCAGATAAAATGTCCACCTGGGTAGAGGAAGGCTACCAACCCCAGGCAGATGAGAGGGGTCCAAAGGGAGAGTATCCCTTACAGGCTCACTGTGCCCTTCGTGCCATCAGCATCTCCCGGATGTTGTCTTCAGCTTCCTTAACACTCCGCTCCAGGTAGGACTTTTTCTGCTCTAGTTCTTTAATTTTTTCTTCTGCTATTTTCTGTTTCTCCAACAGCTGATTATGAATTACCTCCTTGGATTGAAGAGTAAACATTCTTCCTATACCTTCATACATGTTAGTCTCATCTACCAAAGTCATAATCTCTGTATCTGTAAGATGTGCATGCTTTTTCGTTCTGTTCAGTTGTTCAATCTGAATGTCTGCAAGCTTCACCTTCTGTTGAGTGTCAATAACTTTGGCTTGAAGCTCAGTGAAGGCCTTCTTCAACTCCAGATCCACGGAGGCCGCCATGTTGCTGCACTCTATGGCCCCTAATTTTTAAATGTCCCCTAATTTATTTTGTTTGTTTGTTTGTTTGTTTTGTGGAACCGGGGATTGAACTCAAGCCTTTGCGCTTGCCAGGCAAGCACTTATTCTACTGAGCTATCTCCCTGGCCCTGGCCCCTAATTTAATGGCCATCCCCTCACAGGTGTAACCTTGTACCAACTCTCTAATCCTTTTCTAATCTCCGGCCAGAGAGTTAAAAAATAATAATAATAAGTTAAGCCAAGGGATCTCCCTCCTAAAATCTTGCAGTTTTAACCAGGTGTGGTGGCACACACCTATAATCCCAGCACAAAGGGGCCTGAGGCAGTAGGATCACCACCGACTTGAGGCCAGCCTGGGCTATACAGTGAGACCTTGTCTCAAAACAGCAATGACAATATTGTAGTTTTGCCAATGGATAAAGTGCAGTTTCCACCTCTAGATAAGTAGATAAAGTCCTTTCATGCCCTCTTTCTTTCGCTCCCTCCCTCCCTTCTCACCATCCTTCCTTCCTTTTCTCACATGGGCTGAGAGCAGGCCCTCTCCTCTGGCACCCGCAACCCACAGTCTGTCCTGCAGGCACAGCAACAGGTCACCTCAGGGACCCTGTCTGAGCCATCCTCTGCCTTTACTTTTGGGCTCCGTGCTCTCTTCAAATGCAGCTTGATAGCAGCACCTACTCACATCTATGACAGTGACTAATGTGTCTTATTCATATATTACCTTATTTTCACAATGCTCTTAAGAAGTAAGAAGAGAGTTTATTAGGATACTTAGAGATTAGGAACCTGAGGGTCAGTGATGGGGACCAGCTTGCTCCAGGTCACAGAGATGATAAAGTCTTACCAGACAGGAAGCTTTTTTTTTTTTTTTTTTTTAATTTTTTATTGTTTGAGGACAACTTTCTGGTTCATTGCTG